TCCAGCTCTATCGAGAGTGCATCTGAATGGTTTCAATGTCACTACCTGATTCGGGCCATCATCTATCTCTTTCATGGTAGAGTTCTTGACGGCACAGGCATCTTCCGGAATCGCTGAACAACTGGTAGAGACGCCAAAGGAAGTAGCCTTCCAGTCCATCGCGGTGTCAACACCCCCCGGTCCAACAAGGGCATACTGGAGGTCGTTTGAATCAGTGAAGTTGAATATTTGGTAATCTTTCGACTTCGAGTTCATCAAGTCGAAGATCGCGGTGTTGTTAGTAACGAATAGATTGAGCCTGGGTCCGTTTGTAGCGAGTTGTCCTGAAATACTGCATCCCCAAAAGCTTTTGTATCCCATTGAGCCCAAAGCCGGTCTGTTTAGACACCAGGGCGCGAGGCCTTTGCTATAGTGATGTGAGGTAGATGAAAGCACATGTATCTGAGCTAGCTCAATGGCTTCAGCGGCAACGTGGAAGTACACGTCCGCACCTTGGATGAGGAGGCTGGTACAATGTCAACAGTGTCACTACTGAGTTGACAGTCATAGAGGGGCAAAAAGAACTTTGCCAACCTACCTTGCTGTAATTCCAACAACGAAAAACGCAACGCTGGTTTGGACGATACGGGAAGACTTCTGAGAACAACTGTCATTTTTAAACTTTTCCGAGAAAAGTCTTTTAACCACAGAAGTAGCAAGGCTCCATAGAATCAGTGACTCGCTGTTTAGTGTCCTAAGAAGTAAGCTCATCTGGTGTGGACTCGGTAAAGCCTGCTGGCGTGTGCTGTCTTGGGAGAGGCGTATGAGATCAGCTGCGCTTGTAAATGCATAGATTGACATCATGAACCCGACGAGTGCAAGGCTGACCGTAGATGACCACGAGGAGATAAAAGCAAGGCGAGCAACAGGGTAGTCCACGTAGTAGTTGCTTTTGAGAGTGGTGTTCATCACATCTGGCCCTGGACATAGCTCTGAGTATGGACAAGTCTCCTCAATCTTGTTGCTGAACACGATCCATAGAAGTGCCATTGTCGAGGCCAGCATAGGGATCGTAATGAGCGAGCATTGCAGGATGATCTTGCTCGTATGCGGTCCCCAGGGATTTGTGAAAGGCATTGCTAGAACTGACAATTGTCGGTAGTGGAGAAACAAAGAGTCGGATCAACATGTAGCGTAGTTCTTTAGAAAAAGAGAGTGGTGACTTATACATGTCCAACCATCCGTTTGATTCCGTACACGCATATGTTGAGTGATGCATCGAATGCTGTGCCGCCTTCATCATGGACGATGACACTTGAATTGATTTTACTAGTCCTGACCCACATGTGCCTGGAAAGATGTACATCCGCATGGGGTCCAAGGAAGTATCTCCTTGATGAAGTGGATTGGCCGATGTAGACGGACAGTGCGGAGTCCGCCCCACGTTAAACATTGGGCTAAACCGTAATGGGTTAAGATCCTGACGACATCACCCACATCCGACTCTAAAGGTTTCTACAACTTTACGACCCGTTACGTTCCACAGCCATGTTTGCATTAAATACGGAGAACTCTCGTTCAAGGTTATCTAGCGCAATGGGTCAGTGACTGATTGTTGTTTATTGGCTACCGAAGAGCTCCGTACTATGAAGAAAAAGACGACTGCGGCATGAGATCGGAACCCAGAGAACCAGCAGCACTGCGAAGTCAACCTTGCTGTAGTGCCAAGTTTTTTACGCCGTGCACTCTAGCCCGAAGTTAGCTACCTCTTTGATCGCATCTTGAACTTCACCCTTTTCGTCTAAGGCCATCACCTCCATCAATAGAATTCACTCGCGCCCATCTTTCCATGCAGCTTATGTCAAAACCCCGAACTCAGCCATCCAGCGCCCGCCATATATCGCTCAGAATCAGGGTCTGGTATAAGCTCTCCGATCCAAAAGACCTACAAAAAATAGGGGCTTGTTTTAGCGCAGTCGGGTTTTCCAGAAGATCACTTTACAGTAAGATTCGGCATCTACTCAGTATTACCGGAAAGCGCTATTGGTCCTTCCGTGTAGTAGTCACGCCCAATATCTTTGATACCTGCGTACTCTTTGGTTTCTCTGACCCCTTCGTTATCTAATGTTAATCTTCCCCAGACCCTTGTACCACCTTTTCTATCCCCAATCTTCGTCACGTAAATATATTCATCTGTGACTTTTGATTTCAACCACTCTCGTGTGCTGATTACTTCTTCTTTGTTCTGCGAGTCCCTTGCTAGAGCCATCCATAACTTCGGTCGTGTGTTCTGACGTTTCGATACTTCAGGAGTTACTGATTGCTCGTCAGGAGTTTGTTGTTGCGCTATAGCATCTGAAGTCAATTCCTTCGGATCCGATAGTGCTGTTGAGCCTTCCCGGCGCCGATCTGGCTCAACCGCTCGAATACCTGGGTACTCTCTTGCTTCCTTGACTCCAGCGTCATCCAACGTTAATCTACCCCAGAAGCTCGTGCCCCCTTTTCTGTCTCCCACGCGTGCTATCTTTTTGTTCTTGTCAATGACCTTGGTACCAAGCCATTCCCGTGTAGCGTTTCTTTCTTTTTTGTTTTGAGAGTCCGTCGCGAACGCTATCCACGACTTGGGTGGGGAACTTTGACGTTTCGACACATCTGGTGCTGTTGGCTTCTCGTCAGGGGTCCACTTATCAGGCTCGACTGTCTTGACGCCTTCGTATGCTTTCAATTGGGCAGCCACAGAGTCATTCTCTAGAGGTAGTTTCCAGAAGATATGCTTATTGGAGTCCTGATCTTCGACCACATTCTGACTGATCGAAGTCAGGTACGCTTTGGTCTTGAGACAGGCATCCGCATCATCTGGATCTGAAGGAAAGACATTGTAGAGCATGGAGTCCGGGGAGCGAATTTCCGTGGCGACAAGGGGATCGATTTTGCTAATCTCTGAGTCAGGATCGGCATTTGAGAAAGCAGAGCCGAGGAAAAGAACGAAAAGAAGTATGAAATGCATCGTGCGTGCTTGACACTGGTGGAGATATGCATTATGGCCAGTTATCTGCTATATATTTCGACATGATCAAAGACAACGTATACTTAGACTCGAGATACCATATCGATCTGTCTCAACTACGCGGGTTCACAACATTCGTCGAGCTTCAATTCGACACGCATCGCCTCGCCGTATTTGGCTGATGGAGGAACAGGAACTCGATGACAACGGCGAGGAAAACCGCAACAGATTAATGGACCACACCGCTCATAGCCCTAAGGATCAATCTCTTCCAGTTGCGTGAAATGAGGCGCCGCTGTTGGGAAGACGGAAAGGAAATATCGGTGGACCCACTTGCCTGAATGTATACGTAAATTTTCCTTTTTCTCGCCTGGACGGCCCTCGTATGTAAGGCCTCTGATATGATACTAGATGAAGCCGTCATTTAGAGATGTCGGTACATAACACCAATTCTGAGGTTGCTGATGATATGAGGTTGGTGGCGCTTGCATGCGGCGAAGTGATGTCAACGTCAACGGCAGCCCCGGAAGCCGCACTCCTCCTCGCCCTTCGGACAATTAACACAAAACCGCAACACAACGCGGCACAACGCGGCACAAGACCACGCCTCGATATGTCTCACTGACCATGTCCGATCCTGCCGGCACCGATGGAATCATGAGGATCACTGCAATAGCATGAACAAAGAGGCCACGACACTGTAGCAAATACATCGGATACACATGATTCCCAACGAACGAACGAAAATCTCTAGTGCAAGCGTCCATCACTCTGCTATTCCTTCCCACTCCACTCGGCAATAAAATCACACCGATACGAACTCCCCACATCGCCAAACTGATACCGCGCCAGATCCTTGACCCCGGGGTATGTGAGCGGTAGAACTTTGCCTTTGCAGTCGAACTCCCTAGTCGTCATCTCAGTCAGTTCCAATGCGCTTCCGAGCCGAACGTCAACAGGAGTGATATGCGGAGGGGTAGACGTACGAGTACAGCGTGCAAAACGTGCCTTTGTCCGGACCGAGCGACGTAATCTTGTCGTTCCAGGAGGCGTCGAGGTTATCTGTGAGAAGAGGCTTACATGGTTAGCGGATATGTATATGATTATAGATATGGATGGATGGCGGGAAAGGGGAACAGCACTGCCCAACCGCAACATGCAAGTTATCGCAGCGAGCGCCAAACATTTCGTCTTCGCAGACGTACAGATGCGTAGCATCCACCTCCTGTCTGCAGCAGTGATTAGTCGCGAATCGACCATTTCAACTCAGCTCATCTCGTTCAACTCCAGCTCTCCGATGGATCGATCACCTACCTCTTCCCCACGCCTCTCCCACCGCCACCACCTCCTATCACCGGCCCGGCAAATCCACAAATCGCAAAAGCGCCGAGAACACAGATGATCGTAGTCTTCATATTCGCAGAGACAAGTTACTGTACTGTACGGAGTACTTCGCCATGCATGAAAAGCTGCGCGGTTAGTATTCTGCGCTCGCCTCGTGCATTCCTGATGTCTGCCTGGCTCACCCGTTGACTGTCAATCTTTCTTCGTCCTTGCATCCGAGACGCCCATGAGCAATCCAATTCAAACACGCATTCCTAGTAACCACACACCGTGCTACTATCGACGCAGCGTTACATCCGTCAATTTTGCGGATGGGATCGCGAGGCTGGAAACATATTGCATTCCGAGTAGACAATAGTGTTAGATAGACAGCAAGAAGCTCGCTAAGCCATCTATAAAAAATGCCGTGATGAAAGAAAATCCCAAAATCCCAACATGCCAAACCTATAGCGTGCCCCGCAAATCCCACTAAATAATCCCGCGCCCCCACCACCCTACGTCACACCCACACCCGCACTTTCCTCCTTTTGCCTTGCCCCACCCCACAAATAATAAGCCCCTCCGCACACACTTTCCCTGCCCAATCCCTCTCACTCACCACTCTGCACTCGCCACCCCTCCAAATTACTAGCGATATATACTTTGCTAACCCGAAAACTTCTATAAATCAGGCGCCTTGGCGCAATGGTAGCGCGTTGGTTTTCGGTCCCGTTCTGTTCACCAAAGGTTGTGGGTTCGAGCCCCATGGGCGTCGTTTTTTTGGCAATTCAAGTGGCCATAGTGCATCTTCTTTTTTTAGCTGGTCTTTCACTACTCTCGAATGTTTAGGGGTTGTGTGCAGATTATTTTTTCCTCTTAGTGTGAAGGAAGAAGCTCGCTTCCGTGCGACTAGGGTGGGGGCTTGGCGGGGAACACTTGTCGAAATAGTTATGTGCTATTGTGGACCGTGCAGCATATTATTATAGTACACCCTCTGGATTTAAGCTTCAATGTGTTTCTCGCAAAGCCTAGAGCTAGATATATCTGTACACCTCATCTCACAGCGTGTATTGCTCTCTCCTTTACCCACTCCCAATTTCCCCCACCAGACAATCCTGAACGTACTTCGAAATGCACATTGAGGGCACCAAACGCACTACATAAATCCGTCAAGCCAACCCAAGGACCAACTGTCATCAAGGAGCGTCAAGAAAACGAAATAGCCAAACCACGTGGGCTCGTCAGTATTACTCTAGATCTTCCCCAGCCTCCACATCGAAACGAAAGAAAAACGACAAGACGTTAGGATACTCAACCACTGATCCTGAGCCAGCGGGAATCTAGTATGGAGTGCATTACTGTTGGGTGATGTGTGTCGGGGTAGTCGGTGTGGCGATAGAGGGGGCCCGAGGCATCCATTAAGTCGGAGGTAGAGATCGTCATGAAAGAAACCGGTGAGGGCGTATGCAAGAATTTATAAAATGCTGACTCGGTGCGCGAACAACGCTGGACAAAAGGGACTCGGGAACTGGTGAAACCAGAAGGAAAAGATGCGGAATGGTTCCGGGTATGCTGAACGGGGAGCTGTAGGCGATCGGGCGTCGGGTATCCTGGTATCTCTAGAAAGCCCAAATCGATGCTCAAACAAATTGGACTAGAACGGGGAGGAACTTTCGCGCGGAGGTGTTCGTGTTCGTATCAATCATGTGTTCGGTCACAAGATATGTAGGTCAAGGTATGCTATCGTCGGAAAAGAGACTTGTGTGTGAGAGGCGAGTCGAAGGGGATCGGCCCTCTTACTCTTCCGCCTCTTGCAACGGGTGTCTGGCCGGTGCAGTATATGCAGACATAGACAGGAGGGAGGTTGCGATCATGTAGACCTACGCAGCCCATGTGCAGCCACTTGGTGCAGGAATCACACTGTACCATCGGTCCGCCATCATCCGCAGCATTGCAAACACAGCGGGTACTCTCACTCGAGAGACTGCTTCGGTCGGTCGACGGCGTCGTGAGGTCGGTGTCCGTTGTATTGCTAGGCGAAGCGTTGAACGAGTTCGAATATGGATCGTAGAAGCTTTGCAGGGTCGCATAGTTATAAGCTAGATCAGCAGAAGCTTGCGCCCAGCGTTGATTATGAGCTTTGAGCGTGTTTTGGGACGTGTGGTCTGCCCCGATTAGCATGGTAAAGGAGAGCAGCTCATACCATCATACCTGTTCTTTTTTGCCGACCTTCAACCACTTTTTTCAGAGCTCCCAGTGCATCACCCGGTGAGTCAGGCATTTGTTGATCATCATGTTGGTTGACATCACTGTAAGAAGTTGGGAAATCCATCATACTGAACCTGAGAGAAGCATTGTCTACGGATCTCTTCATGGGTCGAATAGTTTCGAATGACGACTTGTCGAAGATACCCGAAGACGGTCTGGGTACTTTGAAGGAATTCGATCTTTCGAGACTATTACTATCGTTGCGAGCATGTTTTGACGCACGGCGTTGGGGTGGTATATTGAAGGATGTGTTACGGCTTAGCATGACAGGCTCCTCCGGCTCAGAGTCACTGTCATCGTCGGAATAGAGGCCAGGATATTGAGATCTTAGATCTTTCTGAGAGTTCCGACGCGGCTCCTTTGACGAGTCAACAAGTTCTTCAGCAGGGACAGTCTCGGTTCTAGCCCGACCCGTCTCATCAATAACAAGTCGGGTTCTGGGCCTTCGAACTTCCGGAATGGACAAGAGCGAACCACCGCTCTGGTGTTTCAGAGGTGATGATCGACGAGGGATGTTGAAGCCGGAGGCCGACCCGGATGATCTAGACTCCATCGATGATGGTCTACTCTTCCTGAAGCCACTATCGGTATTGCTACGTTGCAGACCAGGTTTGCTATGATCGAATGATTTCGTAGATGACGACGTGCTTGTGCGTGAGTGTTGGCTCTTTGTTTGCTTTGTCCTTTCTCTTTCTCGTCTCGCGTCCCGCACTTGGGTTTCATATGGTTGCCGGTTGTCATTGCTGTCGCTGATCTGCGGAACTGGGTCGCTGAACGAATGAGTGGGCCCGGGATTGGAAAAGCTGAAGAGCATGTTAGGGTTGACACCGGCGGATGTTGCGACAAACGAACTTGGTCGCGAAGTCGAGTAATCGCCCGCGGTGCTTGTTGCAAAAGAGGTCATAGGACCCTGCGACGACATGCCATGAAGGGTCTGGAAAGCTTCAGGGTTGAATTGACTAGCGGGAGTATGAAAGGTTTGCCAATTCGTGTTTGCTTCGAACTTTAGTGGAGTTAGTCCAAACGGGTCAGATGCAATGGGCATATCGACATCCATATGTGCGCCATCATTAGGTTGATCCCAGAATAGGCGGGAGTGCGGCAGAGGGGGCGCCGACATTGGACCAGTGCTTGGGAACTGAATCAAGTCTGGTGAGAATTGAAGGCTTGGAAAGCCGAAAGGGGTTTGGTTAAAGAGCCCGTCCGATGTTTGAACATGGCCCGGAGTCCTTGATATCACGGTAGCCGGTGTGGCGAATTCGTTCCTAGCACTCTGCTGCAGGCTTCTCCGGGAGGTGGCATCTCTAGTTGGAGGCGGCGTCTGCATATGTGATGTGTCCATACTGACAGGGCGGGATTGAGATGGTGGGTGCTCGCGTAGGTTACCACCGGAACTTCTCACCGCGAAAGGACCTGGAGAGGACGACAACCTTCGACCAGGCTCCACGGGAGGTAGAGGTAGATTATTGGGGGCGAAGTGATTGACATGGAACTCGGGGTCCTCTGGAGTGGGCACTTTCTGGCTATACGAGCTCGACGGTCGGTGAATGGGGGTCGACAGAGTGAACGATGGTGTCTGTGCTGGAGTCTGCTGCCCATTGACTCGCGGGGTCGACCAGGCGTCGAGGAAGTGTGACTGGGAGACAGCCTCAGCCGTGGGCGTCTTGAGAGTCGAGTCCGGAAACGTCACGGACTTGGGTGTGGAGGAGGGACTGGGAAGGTGCCAATCCGTTGATCTGACGAAACACCCACAGTTAGCGTTGAAACACTTGAACGAATGAAAGCGGAGGCAATGCCAAACAATTAGTTCAGTCACACGCAGTTGTTCGATCCAACATGGCTCCAAAGTGGAGAGCTTGATCCACAGTCACTGCCGAAGTGTGCGGGTGTGAGGTTTTGAGGTGAGCCCCAGGGTCGGTGCGTGCAGCTTCAGACCAGCAACCGTGCGGTGCTGCCTGCCATCTGCCTTGATCCAACCCCAAAAGAGTGTGGAGTGCCAGAGCTGTGCGTGCGAACAGGCAGAGAAGCCATTGAGCATGGTGTCCTACTGCAGTTCGTGGGAGCCCACTGCACCGACCCCATAGCGTCATGGATTCCCTCGGAGGGCACGGTGGAGGGGACACATGGAGCCTGAACCAGGTAGAGGGGAGCCCGTACCCATATATATACTGGTCCACACTCATAGCAAAACGAGTGAAACAGTGTTCCTGCCCGACAGATCATGTAGCGTGCGGTTTCGACGGCGAGCGGCGAGGGCGAGGCGGCGTCGAAGGCGGAGGTGGAGGCGGACGATGGAGGTGCAGGCGCTCTGGCTCAGAATTCGGCGTATCGAGGAGATCTGGACAAGACGTAATCAGGACAGGGCAATGCAGCTGTGGTACACTGTATGACGCTGGAATAGGCAGGGCGTCGTCGGTGCCAGCGCTGTGAGACCTCGTGGCTGCAGGTACGGAGGGAGGGTCACACCTTTGACGTGAGGTTCGCTGGGCGAGGGGTCAAGGGTCAGAGTCCAGACTGGCTGGACGAGGACCAAGGAATGAAGACACTTTCGGACGAGTACGTGCGTTTTTTCTTGCACGCAACGAGGGCCCAGTGGGGCCGGGTAGAAGTAGTAGAGGAGTTGTTGCTCACCGCAGCAATGAATAATAGTTGGACGTCCCGAGCGTGGCCTGGCCAACCACAGTCGGCTCAGGAATGTTTCTCCTGAGCCTAGGGAGCTGGCAGCAGTAGATCAGGTACCGCGCCGCTCCGGGCTGGAGGCATGTTCGCGGGCATGGAGAGGGCGAGCAGCCATTATTGGCAGGGGACGCTTGGTGGAGGAGCACTTCACGGGCAGCGGTGGTGACTTTGCAGACGACCGGCCTGCCCGCCCGCCGCGCCGCCCAGTAGGAACGAGAGCCCAGCGGTGGCTAGCCGGCTAGCCTGCGCCCGGATTACATGGACGGCGGACCGACGACGACATGCCAGCATCTGGAGAGACTGCGAGCGGCACGGTATATGAGGGCTGAAGCCTGAGAGCCTGCGGGCGGGACGATTGATACCCATCAGATTACACATGTCGTGAATGGCCGTGGACGCCATCGCCGAGCGTCTGTCCACGCTAGGGGGAACCACCACCACCACCTGCCACCCACCGCCTCTTGTCGACCACCCTCCGCCGACGACATACTGTCCGTCGCTGCACTCCTGAAAGCCCCAACTCCAACGGCGCCGCGAGCGGCTTGAAGCAGCAACTGGGCAGCCAGTCACGGCCGCCACCTTGCCCTCGGCCGTGTCCACTGCCAGCTGGCTCTCAGCACCAGCATCATTTTTAATCTGCGGCCTTATGCCTCCGGATCCATGCTGCGCTCAAGCGAGCCTGGGGATCTGGTAATGCGCAGAAAGCAGCCAATGGCCGTCTCAGTTCGTTTTGGCCTTTCTGTTCCGGACAATCTGGGCCTGTTCGTGTTGGGCATTGGGCATTTGACTCTCGAAAGCGAACCGACGCAGCGGGCCCTCACCGGGTCG